TTTTTTAAACCTCGAATTAAAAACATCGATTTTTTACGAAGTTTTAAACTTAGATTTATTTATTAAAAAAAAAAAATAAAATTAAACAATAAAAAAAATTGTCAGAACTCGTCAATGTGTGGGTGTCTTATAGTTATGATAAGCACTATATTATGAAAACTGTGACATTTATTCCTCACAGTCGGAATCTAAATCCCATCCAAGCCCCGTTAAACTAATATCATTGGTTTTAAGATTCTACTAAATGCATTGCTTCGCCAAAGAAAGATCTCCGGTTTGTAACCACTGGCAACAAGCGCGAGCAAGTAATCAGAGGATATGATGAAACTAACAATCTATTAAAAATGTCCTACTACAGATCTCTCTAAAGTTCTTAAAGTCCTTGTTCGAACTAAATCAGCTTCTCAATAAAGATTTTAAAGTTCTAGTCAGAACTAAATCTGCATTTTATTCATTGAGCAACATTAAAATAATAAACAGTTTAAGTTCGAAATGAAACCGAATCAAACTTAACCAGAAGTGTATGTTTTGTGTTTAATTAAAATCGAAGTGAAAATTTTAAAACCAATTTATTTAAAAATGCGCAAAGTGATTTTGGTTTTGGACTCGGATTTATAATAAGGAATAAACACACTTTATTGCAGTACTGTCAAATTTAAAAGCGCTTTGCGCGTTTCAGAAAAAAAATGATTTTGAAAATTACACTTGCAAAAAATAAAGATTAGTTTAATTTTTTTAGAACATATTTTTTTTTAAAACACGTAATTCTAAAAAAAAATACACCAAAAAAACTAGAAAACTTAATTTTAACTAATGGAAAAAACAAAGTTACGAAATACAATACCGCTTTCTTACAGTAACAATTTGAATTTCTCAGTTTAAACAAAAAATATATATTGTTCATCTTTGTCAAGTTTGGACACGCATATCTGCCAGGCGAAAAACAATAGAAAGCTGAAAACTTACCCCCAGTTTTTTTGGTTCGTTGGAATCCGTGTGATCACACTGCTCGCAAATGCCGATTTGTAAAGGAGTGTTCTTAGAAAGAAGGTTAAATACATACTTAGAAAAAAAAATTGCACAACTATTTATTATCACGTTTATGGTAATTGAA